TTTTTACGATTTTTAATGTTTCATAAGTTATGAAAATACAATTAATTAGCGCCTTTAATGAAATTAAATCTGTTTAAAAAGTTATTGAAACTGCGCTAATGAGATTCGATAATCCTAAAACTGCATATATGAAGAACGTGTTTCAACATACGTGAGTAAATAATTTAATTTCCTGTAAATGTTTGTGAATAATAAATAGACTGTTAGAAAACTAATTAAACTAATTTTTTAAATGTGAGAGCTTTATGCTGATGCATATTTATAATATATGAGTTTAATGTGACGTGACCTGTTGTAACCATCATGTTAGGCTTGTATGAATGTGTGTGTGTGTGTGAGTGTATGTAGGTGTTTGTGTGTATGTAATACATGTTTGTTTATCTGTGAAAGACCGCTTGTGTGTACGTACGTGTATGTGTATAAATATGTATGTGTTGACGTGAATTTGAAGTATGTACTGTACTGTACGTGAATGAATACATATTTGTGAGTACATGCATGTGCGGAAGTCTAGAAGTACACACACATAACCCGCTGAGAGCCCACAAACGAAGCATGTCACTCGTAGAGTATTTAAATCGATATTTATTGTGTGTACATCACAGTTTAAGTACTCTGTCATGATACTTGATAGAGTAGCAATATCATGATAGATATAACATAGCAATATCATGATAGATATAACATAACAGTATCGTGAAAGATATAACGTAACAGTATTATGAACCATATTTATTTAAGAAATTTGGTTAATATTTTTGTTAACTATTTATTATATATTGCTAAAAAAGTTACTTGTTAAAATAAAATCCAAAAATGAACATCAATTGTAAATTATCCATGGTTTCAATTTACCAGTGCAACCTTATAAAATGATTTTAAGGTTGTCCAAGAAATAAAACTATTTCTGAAATTATGAAGTTTTTACGATAATATAAAAATTGCGTGTCAACAACATCCATTAGAACGCTAATCGTGCTTATGGTAAACGAAAAATGAACACTCAACCCAAATAAACAGAATTTACATGACTGATGAAAAAACAACCGATAGAGAAAGGATGAAACTGAAAATTGTTGAATTGATCAGCAGCATCCTACCTGAGCAACGAAACCAAACGAGTCCTTTAGCTAAACTTATCGAGATATCTGGCGGGAAAAGTTTTCGAAGTTTATTTTAACCAGTCGTATGCACTGACTCCAATATGTGTTTGTGTTTTTGTTCAAGTCATCTCATGTTTGTAAATGTTCATTCACTTTTTACTGAATCAAAGAGCTAGTGCTCTTTGAGAACCAAGCACTGCAACGACAAATACACAATAACAACGACAACAAATTGTCACCCCAACAACATTGGAAATCGTACACAACAAAAATAATAATAGGAACAGCAGCAACAATACCGACAACAGCAAATTATAATCTAAACAACAATACAGAAACAACTGAAGACTGTCTCAGCAACAACATTGCAACAACATTGCAACAACATCCCATTTAACAACCGCAACAAATATACACAACGTTACATAAAATAATGAAATAAAAATAAAACAAACATTCTTCGAAACAATGGATGCCGCACTCACAAATCATTAAAAATGCTCATTGAAAACATTAAAGTAAAGTTAAGATTAAAAAACTTTAGCAGTGTATGCAAACAAATTTCTCGATGTTTAATAAAATTAAAACCCAAAAGTCGAGGACAGATATGCACTGAAATTAACCAGCGATAACAAAATCATTTAAAATTCATACAGAAACAAAAAATTATGTATTTATTTTACTATTTGAAAGATTTTTAAATGTGAGGAAGTTTTTCAAAATTTGAAATAGGATCATAATTATCTCAGTTCAGAACTCTTTAATCTTCCCAATAAACGTAAACTAACGTGATGTAATATTAATAAAAAAAAATAAGAATAATAATATGAATAATAATAATAACTAATAATAATACTCAGTTTAATGCTATTTTCAAAGCTCTCAATAAATTCCTAAGTTTTGAAGAATGAAGGTACCCTCCACTTGAATGTTATTGCTTAGAAATATTTCGAAAACAAATGTTTAAATGTTTAAAAAATCAAAATAATAATATAAACCGTATAAATAATGCAAATAATAAAAAGAAAAAAAATATTAATAATAAAAAAAATAATAAAAATAATAATAAGTGGAAGAAGTGAGATTAATTAAAGTCGAGAAGAGGTTGACTTATCAGAAGGGAGTGAGAGCTCTTGAATGAAGTAGCAATAATATCAGCAACATCAACACAAACTATAAACAAACAACAACAACAAATCGACAACATTAACATCATCAACAACAACAACATCCAAAAAATCAAACAACCGACCCCGTGATTAACCAACCAACCACGTGATTAACCAACCATCCACGTGATTAACCAACCAACCAGCCAACCAACTAACCAACCAACCAACCAACCAACCAACCAACCAACCAACCAACCAACCAACCAACCAACCAGCCAACCAACAAACCAGCTAACTAACCGACAAATCAACCAAACACAGCTTCTCACTTATCAACCTTGTTACATAGGCATTTGTTACGTTTAAACACGTCTGTAACTGCACAAAGTATGATAAATCTCAATGATACCAACATAATATATACTGTATTCTCAACTCACTCACAGGCATGCATCAGCAAGATTTTCTTATATTATAAATTTAATTACAATATGTCTTAATGAGCATACAATGTGCAATGTTATTTCTGTTTTCTTTATACCTTCAATCAAATATATAGATACAAGCTTTTTTGTTCTATTTTAATATCATGCTTTAATGTTCTATCATGCTTGAAATAAATAAAAATTTAGTTTTGAATTTAAGAAACTTGGCAATGATTTATTAACTACCTTTAGAAAAACTAGCTAACGAGGAACATTTATATATATATATATATATATATATATATAATAAAATAATTGATACATACGTGCATACATAAATAATTTCACAAACACACAAGCACACACACAGGCACACACACATACATATCTACAGAGCTACAGAGAATAAAGAAATGAAAGTTGAGAGAGAGAGAGAGAGAGAGAGAGAGAAAAGTACCATCTTCTAACATTCGATAACATTAGGCCGTGCGTTATCATTGAAAGTATTTATTACTGCAAAGTTGAGATGTTTTCAGTTTAGCTTAATAGTTGGTAACGGTGCTTACTCGCTATCACGCCGCGAATAGGATGCAATTACAAATTCGGGATAACAAAAAAACATTCAGATATCTCCTCTCTTCAACGAAATGTTAAGTGCCTGGATGTCTATTTCACGTATCACGTTCTATGTCTTACAAATTTCAAATAAATTTTATATCCTGTTATGATACGAAGATGATGTTCATCATTGAAACAAAAGCAGCAACAATTGCAGTATTGAAAATAACACAAAAAACACAAAACAACTACACCTACAAATACTTAAATAAAAACAACGCTAACAGAGCAAAAACGGCGGCAACAACAATGACAAAACAACAGAACTTTCAAACTGCATTAAGATTAGCCACCTCACAATCTTACAACAACACAACATTACAACAACAGCAACAACAACAACACCAAACCAATCATCATTGCAATTAAAAGAGCATTAAAACTTCTTAAGACCCTTCCATTCAATCTAACCTACCTACCTGAAACAATCTGTCCCAGCAATCAAATGCTGAAAAAATGATCAAGAGAAGATTAAAAGTATGTAGAAACATGGGATTAAAAGCATTAAATTTAATTGCGACTCCTAACAACATACTGAAATTTCAGACATTTACACTAACAAATATGTTGCACTTTAATATTCTATCTAATATACTGATATACTGGTATGTAATGTATAAAATGGATTCATACATACATGTATGTGGTGGATGTAGAGTATGTTTGTGTTTGTGAGGGTGAGCTTGAATAAAAAAATGTAACTTTTTTGCTAAAACCACATTGTTAGGCAAAAATGTTGAAAGGTCTGTATTTATATGAAGGTCTGACATGACATGCAGGCCAACACGTTTAAATCCATGCACATTGTTTCATCTTCTTTTATGAATTGGTTGAATTACTATTATACGTAGAGCCCACCATATAAAATTAACCAAGGAGTCATTTTACAAAAAATCAAATTGCGAACGTATACCATCACTTTAACGAATCATACACACACACAAACAGACACACATACATCCCCACACACACACATACATGCACTAATAAATTAGTATGTAAAGTAAACATATACAGACAAAGATACACGACACATAAAATACAAACATGTAAATCCACAAAAACACGTTCTAACATAAACACACCCACACCCACTCAATCACTCACACACACACATACTTACAAACAAACATACATACATACAGACATATATATATATATATATATATATATATATATATATATAGCAGACAGACATACAATGAGATCAACATTTATGTGGTCACCGACGCTCGATTAAATCAATGAAATCATCATCGAAATGTTTCAATGAATGGCGGGTGCTAGCTGACACCTTTCATTTCAATCTTCATTTCTTCATTATGTGTTTGCCGCCAATCTTTTCTCATTCTTTCATTCAATCTTTCATTTTTGCTTTGTTCTTTTTTTATTCATTTTTTTTATCTCTCTATCACTCTTCCTTATTTTTTTCTCATATTTTTCGTCACTGTTTTCAAGTTTTTCATTTTTTCAAATTGCATTTCAACTGTGTTAGTTATATCCATGCTTTGTTCACGTTTATAAACGAACGTTAAGAAGATTGTCACCACACACACACACAACACCACACCACATACACACACACGCACCTAATGGAATGAAAGACAACTGCTTCACCATGCATGTTATTGTAATTTTTAAAACTATCTTTCAACATTGTTTTAATTACACTCTGGCACTTGTTATTCCAGCAAGTCTCATCGCGAATTTGGTCCATCTAGCACTATTTATTAATAAAAATATTATCTGACGTGAAAACCCCGTTCATAAAATCTGCCAGTTCTCAAATCTGTTTGAATAGCTACAGTTGATAAGGAAGGAATTTTGTATGATCGTCATCGTTAACTTGAACAGCACAACGACCAAAACGTTAACATCCTTAAAAACTTCTGTGATAATACAAACCAGAATGTTAACCTGAACAGACAACACCAAGGACCTATCTATCATATGAAATGTTGATCACCTTTGAAAACCGTAACCGAAATTTCCGTTAGAAAATATTGGAGAAGGCAGTAATGATGATGATGGTGATGATGACGACGATGAGGATGGTGATGATGACGATGAGAATGGTGGTGATGATGATGACGATGATGGTGATAACGACGACGATGATGACGGTAGTAATGAATAAATTGTGTTGTCAGCGTCGTGGCAGTAATGGTCCTAATAATAGCAACAGCAGTAGCAGCAGCAACAGCAGTAGCAGCAACAGCAGTAGCAGCATTAGTGCTGTTGTATGTTTGATGTGACGACGTGTCTGGCACATTAATAAAGACTCAATAGATTACTTGAATACATAAATGAACAAACAGTGGTGCATCAGAGGAGTGGGAACACCTCACATGGAAAGGACACCGATTTGCAGTTGTGGTGTTTGTTCGTTTGTGTACTATGGATGTGCAGTGCACTAATTTGAATGGATAGCAACGTTTAATGATTACAACAATAACATCAACAACAACAACTACTATTACTATACTACTACTAAGACTACTACTACTACTACAGCAACAACAACAACAACAACACAACATTAAAATAAGTATAGACAAAACAAAACGACGACATCAACTATCCATCAACCAAAGCACGATGATGATCCAAGCATGGTCTGCATTCAAATTGTTCCTTAAAGTCACTCCTGGAGATCTAATCAGATGAAACAGAAGCGGGCACTCATTTGATTTCCTACGCAAGAAATATCTCGCCTGATTCACTGATTACGTCTTAAGTTCTTTCTATCCAGTTCTTACAATCACCTACTTGCTACGTGCAAACATATTCACGTGGTTGTTGTTGTTGATGACGTGTTTGCTGTTGTTGTAACTACGTTGTTATTTTTTTGGCTGTCGTTTGTGATAGTGCATTCATTAGATACGTTACTTATGTGTAGCAACAACGAAAACTATTGTTTCTGTTGGTAAGATTGAGTGTCCTGTGAATGTATGTTTGTTTTTGTTTTTATTCGCAGACGCATGATATCAACTGAAAGTAATTATACGTAAGGAAACGTCAACGTTTATACGCAAGTTGTGTGCACGCACATACAAATGTGGGTGTGCATGTTAGTGTGTGCATGTTCGCCTTGTCAAATGTGTTTATTTCATTGGATGCTTACGTATAAACTATTGCTCTTCGTACGTATGTAATTGTTAGCCCGGGTTGTGTTTGTTTGTGCTTGTGATTATGTGGGCATGCCATTGAGTGTGTTTGTGTATTTGCGATTGAATGTGCGTGTAAGAGTGTGTGTGTGTGTGTGTGTGTGTGTGTGTGTGTGTGTGTGTGTGTGTATGAGTGATGTATAATGCTGACCACCACTGGACAACTTCTTAATCTGACATGTTATGAACGTGCAATTAAAAAATTCCATCAGATTGTACTGTGTACACTTTGTATTTGTATATATGTATGTGTATATAAATATATGTATACAGGTTTGATTATATATATATGTGTGTGTGTATATATATATGTGTATATATATATATATATATATACTGTGAGGTACACACATTTACACAAGCACACACACCTGCAAAAACTCAAACGTAGATTTTACATAACAATGCCAACATTTGTCATATGTGATTTTCTCATTTGGAGAGGCGAAATAAAATAAGCTGATTATTATTCCAAAAAACTCATGTTCTTACACTTACCTACCTACCTTCCTACCCACCTACTTTCCTACCCCGTTTTCCTTCCTACCCACCTACCTACCTACCAACCTACCTAAAAGTAATTTTTAATAAACAGAAAACAGTTTCAGACAATATGGCTAAAAATAAATAAAAGATGTTACGTAGTGTTACTGTTAAAAACAACCGAACGGTGTGTATGACAAAGGACCGAGGGACTAAAATAAGCAAATTACAGACACACACATACCCACACACACACACACACACACAATCATACACACGCACACACACAAACACACAAACCTCGGTAACATTTTTCTTGCCAGCAATATTGGGCACAACCCTCTTCAAGGAGTTGAGGACCCTCCTGTTGAGCCGGGCCCTCATGTACCTCTTCGAAATTTTGTGGCCAGGGTAGAGCTTGAGAGGCCGTGGTCGTCTGGTCGCTTTTGTCAAAACAGTGTTTGGGAGCAT